ATTTTGACTTCCCATTTTACCTCACCTTCTCAATAGCCAACCATCTACAAGTCCCCAACGTGAATAAACATACAGCTGCCAAACCCGCTGCGGACACCTCTCTCAAGCATCACAAGACAGAGTCAGAAGGTGCCTGGGCGGGGGGGGTCCCCCTCTAATTCGGCCAGTGCCGACACCTCACAGCCCAGACAACACGCCCTCAGCAAGCACCTGCTGGGCGACCCCTCCCTGCCTGCTCTTCCCTGGAAACCCAGTCCCTCCTCACAGAGGGTGCAAAGCTCAACACAGGAGAAGCCTGGTATGGATTCCGAATGAGAACTTCCTAACTGTTCTACACTGAAAAGTAATAAGGTGTTTTAAACATTTAAAGAGAAGAGCTTTTCAGAAAGGTGGCTCTGTGATCTGTGAGGAAAGTGCATCCTGCACGGGAAAACGTCAATTCTGAGCCATGAGAAGCCCGGGTAAGCGCAAGCCTGCCACCCCAGCACTCCTCACTTGGTAACCTGGGGGCACGCCACCAACGCCCCTCTCCATGTCTGATGTGACGTCACCGCTGCACGAGTCAGCATTAGATCCCACAACTCACTGCAGCCGAGACTGAAGGAAACTGCACGTTACTGCTTTACCGCATTTATTTCTTCAGCCCTCATTTCGCCATCGAGGTCTGGGTCTGAAAAATGATACTCAGTACGTGTATTTTTAGATAAGCTCATTAGTCTCCTAGTGGTATTAAAGCAGGCCTCATTATATCATCCCTCCAAAGCTTAGATGGGATGCATTCTTCCTTGGTCTCCAGCTCTTGATGACACCATTCAGAGAATTTTCCACAAACTCACAGAACACAGAGTGGAGTCACACACCAGCTCTCAAAACGGAGGCACATGCGCTGCAGAGGGTCTTACAGACCACTCCTCCAGCTGCACCGCACTGCCCTCAGCCCCGGACCGGGCTCCCCACAGGCAGGCCGGCCTTCTGGCTCCCCCACCTACAGCCTGCAGGGGCGGCCTCACAGAAGCATCTCGGTCAGTCTACAACCAGCTATCTCCCTGTTCTTTACAAACCTTCACCGTACTGGACAAGGACAAGAACATGGACTTCCCACTGGGGCTCACGAGGAGCCCGGGCTCTGCCTGTAACCTTGAGAAAATCCGCAAACCCCTGTGGGGCCGCACCACACACACACCACACGTGCACACACACAGCAGGCACATGGACACACTGGCATCAGATGCCTCCCCTTTCCTACTTCACCCAAGGGTAATTTCTAATGCAATGAGTATGTTTAAGCCATTACAATTTCTGTATTTTCTCTGAAGTCAACATTTACCTCTGGAGCCCTTCTCAGGCTGGAAATGTGACTGTCTCCTCAGCCTGGCGAACCTCCCCATTCATGATCTGTGTCCATGGGAGCCTTGGTGGGCACAAAACGAAATTCAGACACCTAGCTTCGTCAACCAGTACACAATCTACAGTCTTCACCTCCCAGGGTGTTGAGACCCCATGACGGAGGGACAGGTCCATGGCTGTGGGAGCAGAGACCCACGCGGTCCGGGGGCGGCCACTGAAATGTCACCGTGTGCCTTGCCCAGCCGAGACTCTCTCCATAGGACTGTAGAAACACTGCCCACGATGCTCATCTACGGAGGGCCCCAAGCTTCCGGGCTGAGCGTGGAGGGGAAGCCTGCAAGCAGCCAGGTGGTCCCACGTGGGCGCTGGTGGGAGGCCCTGAGGCAGTTCTCTGCTGGTTGCACTGACCCCCAGGTGTCGGCCTCCAAAGCTGTCCCCAACTGCAGGAGGGACCGCCATCACCGTGTGGCAGGCTCTACAGCCAGGGAACTCCCGCCCCAGATCCCAGCACCCGCCAATATTCTCATATTAAATTCTGGAAGCGAACCCCAAAACTGTTGCTCACGGCCACCTCTGGGAATGACTGAGCTGGGGGTCTCAGTCACTTCCAAACTGTGCTTTGCACCAGCTGAGCTTTCTTCCCTCCATGCCAGGTATGAATACGGAATTTCGATGTCTACCATTTGAATTTTTCGTTGCCTGCTTATACCAACATAATTCCACTAAACGAACGTCAAAGGCCTACAGCCCACTGAGCCCTTGCTGCCCAGCCAGCTCCCTGGAGACGGGCAGCAGCAGGCCTCCACCCTGACGCGCTGCCCCAGGCTGCATAGCCCTCTGTGTCAGTCCAGAGTAAGGCCAGGGAAACAGGAGGGCAGTTGGGGTCCTGCCCCCAGGACACCTGACGGCAGCCCACTCACTCCTGTCACACACACACCTCCAGGTGAAGAGACATGCTTGCAAAATGCAATGCTCAAGACTAATCATGAAGGAATCTGGCTTATTTTCACATGTTGCTAGAAAATGCAACGGTTTTTTTAAGCAAAGGAATTACAGTGTTTTGTCTAGATATCCTTTTTAAACATACAGAAATATTTATTTGTGTTCTAGAAACAGAAAACACAAGGTGCAGTCAGTGCCAGAGCCGCTGGGCTCCAGGTCCAGGCTCCTGCAGGTCCCACACACCCACCTCCGCGCTCTTCCTGTCCTCCCATTTCAATGGAAACAGCATGGCTTCCTCGGGGGCCTCCACCCCCATCACCCCTACCCTGCCCTCCCATGCCTCCGCGATCCCCCCAGGCCCTCCTGCCCCTGGGCAAACCCCATTCTTCCATCCACCCTCTACCCCCACAACCCCTGGCCCCTCCACGTCCCAGCACCCCCTCCGGCCCCCTGCCCCCAGGGCCCCCTCATACCCCTGGCTCCCCTCCTGCCCCAACACCCCCAACCCTGGGCCTCCCCCATGCCCCCAGCGCCCCCTCCACCCCCATTGCCCCAGGCCCCCCGGCCCCCGCAAGCTTCATGAGAGCAGCCGAATGGCGCACCTGGCTCTCTCCGCCGGGCACGGGCACTCATCAGACAGACAGGACGGACGCATGAACAGAACAAGCAGGTCGGCCTCGACTCGGGCATTTCCCCTCGTCCCCACATGCAGAGAACTGAGGCAGACATACTGCACACAGGAGCCACGGGCCTGGCTCTTGTCAATTCTAAACTGAGACACGCCCACAACAGGATGAGTGAAAAGATACAGGTCTTCCCAGAAGATGACATCAGGCCCCTCCACCAGAGACACAGTTCGGGGGCTTAGCCTACAACAGCGGTCTGCATGCCTAGATGCCCGCCCAGGACCACGGCGTGGCCCACAGCTCACCGGTCAGGCTGGCCATCGCGGCCCCGGGCCTGCTGCCCCTCCCTAGGCCCTCCAGCTGGCTGCCCCTCTCCCTCAAGGGGTGGCTCCTGCCCTTTAAAACCTGCCCACACCCACCACCCCATCACCCTCGGTGAACAGGCTCAAGCCGTCCAGCGCCCCAAAACCTGCTGGTGTCCCTGGACCTCCACTGGAGGTAGGAAGCTGCCACGCCATTTTCCCGTATCCTCTTCAGGAAAATCCGCCTGACCCTTACCTGTCCCTACATCTGTCCTCCTTCACTATGACCCCCAGAACCTAACTGCAGCCTGCTCCAGCCTTCCACAGAAACGCCAGAGCTCTGTAAAGCTAGGATCCCAGCCAACCCCTTTAACCCAAGGAAGGGGCTCAGTTCCCGCCTGTGCTTATGGGCTTTGATCCTACACTTACTCAAACCGCAGCACCACCTCCTAAATTAACCACTGTTGCTTCCCCCCAACACTGGCTGTCAGTCCCCTTCCCAAACTCAGACGTCATACCCCTACCTAATAAACAAGGCAGTTAGAGGAAAAGCCGAAAGCCTTTCCTTGGACCACACTCCCCACCCCAGCCTGATCCACCAGCCCTGCTGAGACCTGGTTCCAGCCACACCTGACATTCCCAGCTCCCAGGACAGAGAGGCCCTTCACCTCTGCTTCTCCTCACACCGTTTCTCGGCCTCAACTACCCCACTCCACCCTCCAGCCTGTCACCCACCATAAGCTCCAGGGACACCCAGGCAGGGGGCTGCCCTGAACTTTGCAGAGGCCATCACGGGCTTCAAAGAGGGCCTCCCAACAAAGAGTCCCCCAGCCTCCGAACACAGTTAATAAAGTCAATCAACGTGGCTCCCTGGAGCAGTCACCCCAGACTGCTAACAGAGACTCCCACTGAAACTCCTACCTCATCTGTTACTGAGCACACACCACCTGCGGGCATCTGTGGGGGATAAATGCCAGGTGTTGAGGAACAGGGCACGACCATCAACAAATGCGACCAGAGGTGATAACCACAGCCTCACACTGTGTGTGGATTGACTTTAACTTAAACCACACCATGCAGGGCGCAGTGCATATTCTCACACTCTTTGCCAGGTGAAATGCCGCGCTGGAGGGCAGGAGCCTAACAGCAGCTCGTGCCCAACGGCAGCTGAGCACGGGCATGCCTCCAGTGAAGCTTTCTGGGGAATGACGGGAAGGCTGGACATCCATCAGGGGGTTGCAAGAAGCGGGACAGCTCGTGGGTCAGGCAGATGCCGCTCCTCTGGGCTGTGTGTCCACTCTGGGCAGCAGATACTAAGCAGCCCCCTGCACCGATGACCACGGAACAGCTGCCTGAGGTCACAGTGCAGCAAAGAGCCGCAGGACCCAGGAAACAGACTGGCTTTGGACCTAAAAGCCTGTTTCTTGGAACAAACATATTCTAGAGTTTCGTGACAAATACGGAAAGCACTAAAGTAGGGTTTTTCACATTTCATTAGTCACCAAATTTCATTTTTCTGAGGCAAAAAAAAAGGAGGCCAAAGCAAGCGGTTAGGGCCGAACTGCGTCCCCTCCACACAAACAGGTGCTCGGGGTCCCTGCGCGCACGGCCGGCCGCAGCCCCAGCGCCTGGCCTCACTGAACACAAATACTCAGAACGAGAGGGTGACCCCGCCTGCAGCACCGGCGGCCGCTGCCGTCCACGCGGAGGGCCCGCGCACCGCCGCGTCCGAACCGCGGACGGACAGCGAGAACGTGTCCGCAGACGGAGCAGACATACTTACATCTTTTGCCATGTTACCAGATCCGTGAGATCGATGCTATAAATGTTCACCCTCCAGAGAAGAAAACTGATTTTTCTGGTAAGAAAGACGGAAAAACAAGAAATGAGTAAGAATGAAAACCCCGGTGGCCCCGGCACCCCCTCCCCCCGGAGCGGCCCTCCCTCCTTTCCAGACGCACTGCCCGGCCTGGGGGCAGCTGCCCACCGGCGCCCGCGGCCCCCGACAGCGGGTACAGCCCACCGGCCCACACAAAGACCCGGCCGCCCGCGGCCACCCGCGGCCACCGTGACAGGTGGGCTTCCGGCCCGGCGGGCCTGTCACCCGAACGCCGCCGCCGCCGCGCGCGCGCCTCCCGCGCCGGAACCGGCAGTCAGGTCAGCACCGCCCCCACCCCGCGCCGCGCCCGCGGGGCCCCCAAGAACCCCGCGCTCGGGCCGACCCCGGCGCCCCGGCCCCCCGGCCTCCGCCCGCGCGAGCGCCGCTGCTCCGCGGGAGTCCC